CTTGTGTGGGGGGTATTTTGGAATTTAAAACACCCATTTTTTAAAAGGGGGCAAAGTCTGGACAACACTGCCATATGGTAATCAGTTATGGGATTGCAAGGTTTATCTTCTTTATGGCAGCTGCAGCTTTGGATAGAATATTCTGGGTATCTTTCTTAATATCTGACAGATATTTCTTCAGCATGAAGAAAGAGGAAATAAGTGAAATTCCTCCTGACAATAAGCAGCCAATTATGGGGAAACGTTCCCAATAGAAATATTCCACGCTCATCATTGAAGCTCCTAGAAAATCTGGTAGCCTGTGTAAAATCACTGTTTTTTTTGACTGGGATGTCATCATTGATTTCAGCTCTGAGAGTAACTTGCCAGTAAAGTTAGCAAGTTTGATGAGGGACTGATTATCCACACCAAACTTACGGTAGCACCAAACACCAAACGCTACGAAGAGGACAACGCCCCCCAGGATCGCAACTCCCGGGACCGGGATCACGGCTATAAATCCGGCGAAAAGGATGGGAAGCCAAATCTCTCTTTGCAGTGTGGCTGCCTTATTCTCCAAAACAGATGGAGAAACGGTAGTGACGATGTTGCTGAGAAAGGCTTTCTTCTTATTCCACAAGAGATCACTGGTCAGGGATTCCCGCAGAAGGGGGAAATCATAGTGGTCGGGCTTGTGGTTGGAAACCGAAAAGACTTGGAGATCTTTCACCTCTTCATTTCCCAAAGAATCCCTGCAGAAATCCTTGGCGGGCAAGAGAATCTTCTCCTCGCTGTAGCCAGATAGTTGCTGCTTCTTCGCTTCCTCCAAGTCCAGGTCTATCTTAGTTTGAACCATATAAAACTCTTTGTCCATTTGTTGGACCTCAGATGCAATTTGTAAGCGAGTGGCCTGGGAGCTCTGGGGGGCAATAAAGATGAAGAAATCGAAGTCACTTAACTCTACCTTCTTGCCATGGATGTCTTCAGTCACAAGTAATTCTCCCTTCCATGTGATTTCTGAAAAGGAGACCCGATGAAATTCTGCATTTATGCAATCTGAGACTTCTGTTCTTGCCACAATGTCAGTTGCAGCTGCAGCTGAGCCAGCCAGATGTGGATTCTGCAAGGCGTTAATAAAGGATGTCTTCCCAGAGCCTGGCTCTCCTACTATGGCAATGTGGAGTGGAAAATCAGCAAAAGACTCCCTTGGTTTGTCCACTATGGTAGATAAGGCATCAGTTAGTCTCCCTTTGTAAATAGCTGCTGCAAATTCTTCCTTATATGAGGATCCAAATGTACCATAATCGCGTACGCAACTGCAAGGGGAGAAAGTGAGAAGGTTGTAACCTCAAACATTTCAACTGTCTGGAACAGGAGCGTTTGCAGGGGAGTCAGAAGAGTCAAGATGGTGGCCATGACCACATGATCAAAAGCTCGCCCCTTTGTTATGTGTGTGGCCTGGGCTAAACTTGCAAAAACGGGGGGGGGGGGGGGGGG